TAATATGAAAGAATAATAACAAAAGAAAAATGATATAAACGATGATGTTAATAATAAATGAATTAATCACTAATATAATAATAATGAAATATTCATTCATCATAAAATAAGAAATAAAGAAAGAAGAAATTCATTAAAATAAAAGAAGAGATTAAAAAGAAGAGATAAACAGAAAGAAGAAAGAAAAAACAATAAAACAAATGCATTCATTAATCAATGAATAAATGAGAGTTTTATTAACATTTAATTATCTAATTTACTTAATTGGAAAAAATATAATAAAATATTATAATAAAATATTATAAGAGAATAATAAAAAAAGAAAGAAAATTACATATACTTCTTTTACTAAAAATAAATAAATAGTTTATTATAATGTATTTACTATTAATATTTATTTTATTAAATTGAATTAGAATCTACTTCCCCTTATCGTATTTATTTTTTCTTTCTATTTAAAATGAATTAGAAACAGTCAATTAAATGATACCTTCAAACATTGACGAATATGGAAGTGATGGTTCTTCATTTGGAATTGGGAACACAAAAGGGTTTCCTTTAAATCCATAGGCATTTTTATTAAAATTTTTACCAAACATCATTTTCTTTTCTTCTTCAGGAGAAATACTTTCTTTAGTTTGTTCAGAAATTGGAACTCCTTTAGTTGGTTCGTTTTCTTCTTTTCTAATTGTTTTATTTTTATCAAGCTTAGATTCAAGCTCTTGTTTCTTTTTAGTAAGTTCTCTTTTCTTTATTTCTAATTCTTTAATGTCTTTTTGAAGCTGTTCAATTTGATTCATCTTTTCCTGAATTTCATTATTATATTGTCCTTCTTCTTCTTTAATTTCTTCTAATTTCTTATTAATTTCTTCAAAACCAATTTCTGGATTTTTTTGTTCTTCTTCTTTGTCTTTTGTTGTTTCTGTTTCAAATGAAAAGACATTAGAATTACTTGATTTAACAACAGAAGTCGGAATATTATTAACTGTGACAGGAGTATCAAATGAAAATATGTCAAAATTAATTCCAGAAGATGCTTTTTCTTCTTGTTTTGTATTAGGAATAGGCTCAAGTGGTTGAGTTTTTTGACTAGTAATTGGATTGGGGACTGTTTGTTCTTGATTACTACCACTCTTTTCTATTGTATCAAAATTAAATCCATCACCAAAACTAAATGACTCTTCTGTTTTTTTACTTTTTACAATAGAAGTTGGTATTTTATTTTCGACTGGTTGGTCAAATGAAAATGTGTTAAATATTTCTTGGTTGGTATTAGAATCTTCTTTTTTTATTCCTTCATTATCATTACTTGCCTGTTCATCTTTACCTTCTTCCAAATGTTCTATAGGATGAGGTGGTTCTTCTTTGATTTCTTTCTGACTTTTTTTATTTTTCTTTTCTTCCTTCTTTTTACGTTCTTCTTCTTTCAATGCTTCTTTTTTCTTTTTTTCTTCTTCCTTTTTCAATTCTTCAGCTTTTTTCTTTTCCTCTTTAATTTCTTTAGAAGATTTTGGGGTTTTCATTTCTTCTTTTTTTTCTTCGCAGTTTTGAGTTGTTGATACTTCTGAATGCAGACTAATACTTTCTTTATGTCCTATCACATTTTCTGTAGAAATAACTTTTTGTGGAAGTGGGGGGACAGCTTTTGTTGGTATTTTTGGTAAATCTTTTTGTGGTAATGAATTATGTTCTGTAGGTTTTTCAACAGCAGGAGAACCAACTGTTGGGGTAATAATTGGTAAGGGATGCTGAGGTGGGTGGTATTCAAAGGTATTAACATATGTATTAAAATAAGAAGGAATTGTTTTTGGAATTGCAAACCCAGCTTTTTGATTTTTTAATAATGCCAAAGCTAAAAGAAATTCATTTCTATTAAGTTCATTAGGATTTGTTTTTGCTGTAATTTTCATAATATCATCAATTGTTAATATACCACTATATTGAACTAAAACTTTTTCAGCAAAAATGTCTTTAGTCATTGTGACATGATTGGTATTAATTAGTGAAGTGAATAAATTATCAGCTTGTTTAATTTGGTCTTCTTTTAAGAAGAAAGGAATATCAATTATAGGTGAGTTGTAAGGTGGTGGTTTAGTAAATAATTCATTTGAAATTGGTTGGTTTTGTTGTGCATAATAAATCAGTACCAGTGCCTTAGCAAATTCAGAGAGATACATAGGTTTTTTGGGTGGAACCGATAAGCTCCAGATTTTTGATAAAACGTTCATGGGTAACTTGGTATATTGAAAGAAAAATAAAGCATCAGATCCTCCAATCATACCATCTCCATCAACATCAGCAAAATGGAATAAAGTATCTACAGGAATTTCAGGTGAAAATTTACTATTAATTGACATTACTTGAACTGAAATTTTTTGATTTTGTTTTTAGTTTCTTTTTTTTTTTT